AGGAGTCGAACCAACATTGAAGCCTCTAAGAGCTGGCGTAGTAGTTCTGCATAGGTGGTTGGGATTTTGTCCACTACCTTGTCCCTTCTAGGCTCTAAGAGGTCTAAATAATCCAAGCTCATCAAGAGGAAATTGAGAAGGTTAACCTAGGACAACAGAGGATAACAAAGAAGTCCTCATTGGCATGAAAATTGAAGAAGAAACCAAAAGCCAACTGATAAAACTCCTTAAGGAATATGTCAATGTTTTCGCTTGGTCTTATCACGATATGCTGAGATCAGACCCCAAAAATGTTGAATATAAATTGCCTATAAAACAAGAGGTTCGTCCTATAAAATAGAAACTCTGAAAGGTCAAACTTGAATGGTCCCTTAAGATAAAAGAGGAAGTGTAGAAACAGTTAGACACAGGATTCCTGGTCATCTCCTATTATCCTGAATGGCTTTCGAATATAGTGTCGGTATTGAAGAAAAATGGGAAAGTATGGGTCTGCATAGATTATCGAGATCTAAATCGAGCTAGCCCTAAGGACAACTTCCCGTTACCACACAATGATGTGCTCATGGATAATATCGCCACAAACACTATCTTCTCATTTATGGATGGGTATTCAGGATACAATCATATCAGAATGGCTGTCGGAGATCACAAAAAAAAATTTCATTACACCATGGGGAACGTTCTATTACAAGGTAATGCCATTCGGATTAAAAAACGTTGGACCAATTTACCAAAGAGCCATGGTGACCTTGTTCCATGACATGATCTATAAGGAGGTTGAGGTCTACATAGATGACATGATCGCCAAGTCAAAAAGAGAATGTGACCATCTCGTTCACCTAAGAAAACTGTTTAATCGACTTCGAAAGTACCAATTAAAGCTAAACCCTACCAAATGTGCATTCGGAGTCCAATCTAGAAAACTCCTCGGATTCATCGTTAGTAAAAAAGAGATAAAGGTGAATCTAGATAAAGCCAAAGCCATCATAGAGATCTCGCCCCCAAAGACAAAAAAGGAAGCCATAGGTTTCCTTAGGAGAGTAAATTACATAGCTCGTTTCATATCTTAATTGATTGATACTTGTACTCCCATCTTCAAACTACTCCAAAAGAACCAGCCGATAGAATGGAATGAAGAATGCCAGCTCGCCTTCGAGAGGATCAAACAATGTTTGGCAAACTCGCCAATATTAATGCCTCCGGTTGAGGGGAAACCTTTAATTCTATATCTTACAATATTGGAAGGTTTCATGGGATGTGTGCTAGGTCATTGGTGTGAATCCGATAATCAAGAAAGATTTATTTATTATCTCAACAAGAAATTCATAGACTACGAGATGCGGTATTCACTGTTAGAAAAGACTTGTTGTGCTTTGGTATGGTCCGCTCAACGATTGAGACAATACATGCTAAGGCATACCACCTGTAGACACCCTATTTCGTCCGGACCAACAAAAGCAATGAAATGGATGTCTATCATCAAAGAAATAGAACTCCCAAGAATGAAAATAACAGAACATGACATCAGAAGGCCTAAAAGCCCAAACAAGGTGGTTTTAGTAGCCTAGAACAGGCTGTTGCAAAACCGGAATGGGCAGTTCCAAGTTCCTAAAATTAAGGGCCTAAAACCCTAGTTTGGGACAGGTCGTTCCAAGCTCATAAGAAAGGGCTAAAACCTTAACTGGAACGGGCCTTTCCCAAAAATGGAACGGGCCGTTCCAAGTTATTAAAAAGGCCTAAAAATCCTTGTTTGGAACGGCCGTTCCAGCCTAGTCAATTATGTGTTAATCTCATATCTGGAACGGGCCGTTCTAGTTTCAGAACGGGTCGTTCCAGTTACAAAATTAACACAGAACGGTCATATCCAGAATGGGCCGTTACGATTTTGAAACGGGTCGTTCTGGCAACTTTTTGATGTTTATAAATAGACAGCTCAGGCACAGTTCTAGGGGCCACAAAATTTCGTCCAAGACTCCTTAAAGCTCGAAATTTCTCTCTCTCTCTCCTATTGTATTTCTTGAGTTTTGTGACGCATATTGTAGTGTGAAAGGTTACCACAAAGCACCTAAAAATCTTCATATTTGAAGATTTAATAGAGCTCGTTCAAAAGGTGTTTCAGTCAATCTTCTTCTCTTCTTTTTTATTTCTTATCTTTGATAAATCTTGTTATAATAAAAGTAATCATGTAAACATTTTAGGATCAACCGTGTTAATTTAAATTTATAGCATGTAAATAAATATTAATAAAGGAGATCTAATATTTAATTTATTAATTCGTATCACGTTAACTTCATCATAAGGTACCGATTGAGGGCGTTGTAGGGGTGCTTAATACCTTCCCTACGCGTAACCGATCCCTGAACCCGATTCTAGTTATCAAGGCCATTATTGGATCTTTAAAAACCTTTTATTTTTCCAATGTTTTGAGTAAAACATTGGTGGCGAATCCATGAACTCATTTTTCAAAACCATTAATTAAGGATTAGTCTGGTGTTCGGGCATTCCCTAATTGATGAGATCTTTAAAAGGATGTCTAAACCATAGGTCGCAAGATCAGAAATTTTCGGGTTGCGACACCACCCAATTGATATCAAGAATGGATCCCATTAAGTATATGTTCGAGAAACTTATACTCATTGGGAGGGTTGCCAAATGGTAGGTATTGTTATCCGAATACGATATCACCTATGTCGCACAAAAGGCAATCAAGGGCAGCGCTTTGGCTGATTATCTAGCAAATAGACTAACTAATGAACATCATGCGGTAAAGGACGATTTTCCCGATGAAGAAGTTTTAGCGTTGGGAAATGAGGAGAAAGGGCGAACTAACAAAGAATCCTGGGCCATGTTCTTCAATAGAGCCTTAAACCTAATGGGACATGGGGTAGACGCCATACTAATGTCGTCCCAAGGAAAGCACATCCCGGTAACGACATGATTATACTTCGATTGCACTAATAACATGGCCGAATATGAAACCTGTATATTAGGTTTGCATGTCGCTCCTGATCATTGCATCACAAGATTAGAAGTCTATATGGCACCTTTAGTACGAGACAAAGGAGTTCCTGAAGGCCCAAATAAGGCGTCAAAACGAGCCAACACAACATCGGGATGGCCCATTAACATCATAATGGACCAGGAGGACATCAGAAGGCCTAAAAGCTTAAAGAAGACGAATTAGGAGCGCGGAACGGGTCGTTCCCAATCTAGAATAGGTTGTTCCAAGTTTCTAAAATGGCCTAGAAACCCTAGGTCGAAGCGGGTTATTCCTAATCCAGAATGGGCCGTTTTGATGCAGTTTGTTATGAGTAAAATTCAAATCCAAAACGGGTCGTTCTAATTTCGGAATGGGTCGTTCCAAATTCAAATTTTACTTGTAATAAACTCAACCAAAACGCCTCATTCTGATAATCAAAACGATTGTTCCAGTTGATTTTCGTGCCAATAAATAGACACCTCGTACATAGTGCTAAGGGGGTCGAAACAGAACGAAATTAGTCTATTCGAGTCTTAGGCAATCTAGATATTCTATTTCTCCTCTCTCCTTGTATTTCTTGAGATTTGTAAGGTAAATTGTAGTATGCAAGGCGGTTAAAAAGCGCCTCAAGTCTACCACATTGAAGGTCCTTTTCTAAAGTGCATTCAAGAGGTATTTCATCAAAGTCTTTCTCTATCACCTATCATATCTGTCGTAATTATCGTCATATATAAAAGTAACCATGTAGACGTCTTAAGGTCAATCGCATAATTTAAATTTAAGCATGTAAATAACCATTAATAAAAGGGAGCTAAATATTTAAACTATTATTCTCTATCACGCTAGTTTCATCATAAGAGTACCGATTTAGGGCATTGTAGGATGCCTAATACCTTCTTTACCCGTAACAGACCCCCGAGCCCAATTTTGATTGTAAAGGCCAAGTTGGCATTTTTCGAAAACCCTTTTCTTTTTTCGATATTTTGAGTAAAACATCGGTGGCAACTCCCACGAACCATTTTTCAAAATTATTGATTAAGGATTAGTTTGGTATCCAGACATTGCTTAATTAATGAAATTTTCAAAATGGAAGTCTAAACCATCTATAGGTGAGATTGGAATTTTTTTTGGATTCCAATCGAGCCTTCTTTCTGAACTTGGTTATTCACAAACACAACTTACTCCATTACATGCTGATAATACCAGTGCCATACAAATTGGAGCAAATCATGTATACCATGAAAAAACGAAGCACATAGAGGTTGATTGTCATTTAGTCAGGGAAGCCCATGACCGAAGAATTATCACTTTATACCTCATGTCTCAACATCTGTTCAAATAGCTAACATCCTCACCACATGCTTGACATGTCAATGACATAATTTCTTAATCAGCAAATTGAAGCTTCTAGATTTACCACCATCAATTTGAGGGGATGTCAATAGAATTGATGAAAAATTATTTGATATTATTTTCACTGATTTGCTGACCCTTTAAAACAACATATATTACATGATTATATAGTTGTAATTATGTAACTATATTCTTAATTAGCCAATTGTAGGTTAGTATTTTTTAACAAACTTCAGGGCTAAAAATTAGTTTAGAATCTTATTATTTAATAGAGAATTATATAGAGTAGAACACACAATTTTCACCTCAATTTCTTTGAGTTTTACAATAACTACCAAGTCAAAAAATAAAGTTATGAGATGACAGTGTTACAATAATATAATTTACCTGCAATAAAAATTACTAAAATAATAAAATAAACATATAAAAAAATTATAAGTATCACATTGACATCATTTTTAAAACTTAAAATTCTAAAATAAATTAATTAAATAAAACGATCGACCTAATAATTAATTTAGCAAAATAATTTATTAAATAAATGTTATTTTTCTTATCGCGTTTTTTCATAACAATGTTATTTTTCTTATCTCATTTTTTTCAATAACTTTTTATCCCCTTAACTATAAAAGGTGCGTCATAAATTGAAATTACATATCAACCAACAACAACATTAGTAGTAAGAAGAAAGCATGGAGAAAGTGTTGAATGGAGCAGAAGAATTCTCTGAATCATGCAATATGCTGAAGATGGTTCTTGCATTGGCGTTGTATCTTGGAACAATTCATTTCAACCTTGCGTTGATATTCTTCGCCACTTTCTTTCTTCCTCTCTCTAAAGCACTCTTGTTGGTCTTCCCTTTTCTTCTTATCTCAACACCTAACATTAATTTTGTTCCATATGTTAAATGGATTTTAAAATTTTCATGATAGGGTGTTTGGTTCGCTCTTGGTGTTAGTGATGATTCCTGTGGACGAGAACAGCATGTTTGGCAGAAAATTGTCAAAGTATCTTTACCTTTTTCTTTTCTTTCACTTATTTTTAGTGAAACCCACGATAGTGATCTGACTATTTCATTTTGACTATATTTCAGATACATATGCAGACATATTTGTTCCTATTTTCCTATAACTCTTCACATAGAAGAAGTAGAAGCCTTTCGTCCTAATCAAGCATATGGTTTGTATCACTCTTTAAATTTTGAGCATATTTTATGGTGTTTTTGTTTGAATTTAATTTAAATATACATTAATATTTTAAAAACTGATTCAGACTGTCCCATTGGATCAGAAACCAATACCACTACTGGTCCAAAAATGAATGTTAGCAAATTTCATTCATTCAATCACATGTAAAATAAGTTTGCCCATGCTTGTAATAATTACCTTGAAAATATATATATATATATATTTATTTATTTATTTTTATTTTTTGTTGACAGTAAAAAAAGATTATTTTTACATCAAATTAAGTTAAACTCTTATAATTTTTAGAGGGTAAAAACTGAAAGAACATAAACAGTGAAAACTTTAATTAAAAAATATTTAGAAAATCTTAAAGATGTTATAATTTTTAGAAGCCTTTCGTCCTAATCAAGCATATGGTTTGTATCAATCCTTAAACTTTGAACGTATTTAATGGTGTTTTTGTTTGAATTTAATTTAAATGTACTAAGAAGAGTGTTTTAAAAATTGGTTTGAATACCAATTGCTCTAATTTCACAAAAAATTAATACTACTATTTGTTGGAGTTTAGATCCAAGGGTTGAACCACAACATATAAAATAAGTTTGTTGATATCTATAATGAAAGCTTGTTGATATTTATTATGATTATTTTAAAAGTTATATTTAATTTCTTTTATTAGTATATATGTTTACTCAAGCATATATACATCAAACGACACCAAAAAACAAAACATATATACATCAAAGATAAAAATATTATTTTAAAACATTTTAAAAAATTGTTCTTTTTAAATATTTAAAATGAAACAAAAGATATTAAAAAAAAAAGTATTTTATTTTTCAAATTTGTTTTTCATGCGCATATTTTATTTCATATCAATTTAAACTCCTTTTAGCCCGGCTTTGCTTAAGAATACACATATATGCACACTCTTGACATGTCACAAGATAAAGTAAAAAGATTGTTTACCCTCTTATGATGGGATTTCGTATAGTCCTTTTTCATTTGTTGGGTGATTTATCTTCTGAATTTGCACTCTAGGAAAGGGACCCATAAAAATATTGAGATCATCATTTTCCTTTCTCATTTTATGACTCTTTGGTGAGGGTGCGTCATTAATTGAGCATTTACTAAAATTAGCAAAGGGTTGGGGGACCATTGGTTCAGAAAATTGACACTTAACAATTTTCTATTTGCATCTTTTTTGCCAACGACTTATATTGCTCTCATTAAAATAAATAAATAAATAAATAAACGGTAATATAATTTTTATAATTTTTTACATTGTGGACTAATAAAATTATTATTGATATGAATATTAAGTATTTATAATACAAATTAACAAATTTATCATATATAATAAATTATAATTGGATGATAGTGCAAAATTATTTTATATTATTAGTGTATAGTATTTTTTCTTAAAAAATATCTTTTAATTTTTTTAATTTAATTATAAAAGAATATATTATTTATTACTAACAAATATATGTTTATGTGAAAATAAGACTAACCCGTGATGATGATTTCTCTTTTGTTTGTATCATCTTGTTATGAAATCGTTTATAGTAACGAGAGCATGCACTCTGTGCAGTTTTTGGTTATGAACCGCATTCAGTTAACCCAATCGGTATGATTGCACTCGGTCACAGCGCTGGTTTCATGCCCCTTGCAAAAACAAAACTTCTTGCTAGCAGAGCGGTAAGAGTTTTACTTAAGATTATGACTTTGTTATAATATATTAGAAGAATTTTGATTGATTTTTTAATAAAAACTACTTTCAAAAGCTTTTTTAAACTTTAATTAAACATTTTATGCGGCATATTGTATAAGAGTTATTTTTTTTTAAAGAGAGAATGTGAATGTTGAATATAATCTTTAAATTAGAATAATTGATTTAAATTTATAAAATACAAACAAAGCCATCACATATTGTCAGTTATCTATATCAATTTCACATAACTATCACAATGTAATTACCACCACCATTATATTGTCATCATCACTACTATCTTTAATGTTATCACTATTAATATTGTTGTTATTATTATTATTATTACTATTATCCTTGTCATTATTATAACTATTGTCATTTTGGAACAACGAAGATGAAGTTGACAACAATGATAGTTGTAGTAATGATGAGAACAGAGACAATGGTGGTGGTCATTGCAATGATGATGATGATGATGAAAACAATGATAAATATAACTACAATAATAGTAGTATGTGATAGTTTTGTTTGTACTCTTTAAAAATTTAAGTTTTATAATTTAATATAAGGGTTGAGATTGAACATTTTCATTCTTAAATAAGAAATATTCTCAAATGATATATCACCTATATATATATATATATATATATATATATATATAAAGTTGAGA